AAATTAGAGAGGGAAGGGTGAGATATTTAAATTTATTTTTATTACAATACTTGATAGTGAGGAAGGGGGGGGTAAGGATCAGATATTGACCTATTTAATAGGTCAACTCCCCGGAAAGGATATAGAGAGAAAAAAGAGAGAAGATGTAAGAAATAAGATGTGGCATTAGGGTTTTTGAAGGAAAGAGAAGGGGATATAAATTTAGGGAGGCGAAATTAAAACAATTAACGTATGTGCGCATATGGCGGCCAATCTGGAAAAACAGATTTGCATACTTTTAAAAAAAATTTTATATTTTTAGGTCAACGTTTCAAAGTAATTTATGTGTTTAAATTTTCCACAGATAAACTAGGAATTTAATATAAACTGAATAATATCAATAAATAAAATATAAAAAAATAAAAAAATTACTAATATTAATATTTTTAATATTGTGAATAACGGTTAAGGAGTGATATTTCTAAAATCTAAGTCATCAATTTAATTTGAAACTATTTCGAGTTGAGTAATATTTTTTAATTAAAGTCTAAGTCTTCAAATCTAACTTGAAACAATTTCAAGATGAAGTAAGATTTGAAGGTAATAATATATATATATATATATATATATATATATATATATATATTTATATATTTTTTAAGCGTTTCACCCCAAGCAAGGTGGAAAGCCACTCGGACGCAAGGTGTTACAGAAAATTTGGTGCAAGATCAGATAGGAGTGATAGAAGAAAGGATGAGGAGAAGAGTAGTGGGTAGATCAAGGCAACTGGAGATACAGAGGCCAGTGTGTGTGTGTGTGTGTGTGTGTGAGAGAGAGAGAGAGAGAGAGAGAGAGAGAGAGAGTGAGTACCGGAAACTCCTTCCTAAACAAGAAACAAGGCGTAAGCCTCTACTCATGTCAATATATATATATATATATATATATATATATATATATATATATATATATATACATATATATAAATATATATGCATATATGCATACATACATGCCTCATGCATACAATCATACACACCACATACATATTTACGTAAATATATGCCAGGGATTCTCTTTTTTTTTGTAAATCGTTAAAACTCGCAAACTTTTAGTTATTTTTAGCTGTTAGTACAATGAAATTCTCTTTATTTTATATCTTTCAAAAATAAAATATACTTTTCTGAAACTTTATGTAAGTAATATCAGCTGATTTAAAGATTAATTAATCTGATTTGAAACAAACATTACGTACTTTTATTTTAAATGTCGCAGAAATGAATTTTTGACATTTAAGATGTTGAAAGCCTTATTGACAGCCCGACAGCTCTTTTGACAGATGGAAATTTGACTAATTTTTTCTAAATGTAAAATTCTGTAAAAATTACTCGAGGAATATAAAGTGAGCGCCTCTTTTATGTAATTTTTAATTTTAATGTAACTTATTATCTCATAATATGACGTCCGTATTTACAAAAGTCGGCACGTTTAAACACACTCAAAAAAATTCTAACTTCTTTTTAAAATACCGGAGTCGCTGAATTGTAGTAAGCCTTTCCATTTATGATTAGTAAATATAGTTTTTACTTAATGACCAAATAACCTAACCAGCAAAAGTTAATACCGAATTTTAAAATATTCAAAATTTTGTAAATTATTCTAATTAAAAAATGAAAACAATTCTTGTGAAAATTCATTATTCATCGAAAGACAATAGTGTTATTCATAAAAGGAATTACAAGCTTTAAAAAGAAAAATGAATTTCTTGAAATTTCATAAAATTAAATAAGTGGGTGGAAACAGATGCAAAAGAAAATGTTTTTAACAAGATTTTCTAAAAAAGAAAAATTTAAAAATAAAGACATTGATTGTGAATAATTCCTGAAAGTCTATCATTAAAATCGGACAGTTATTTTATTCTCGTAAGAATTTCCAAATCAATGTGCTTTCCACCGCAAAAAGACGCTAAAATTTCCTATATTAATTTATGGTCACCCACTGATGCAAGTAAAATTTTGGATGTTCTTAAAAGGATAAAAAAAATATAATTTAATAATCAAAAAATACTTTTAATAAGAACATAAAGAGTTTGAAGATAATAATTTTGTTTTTATTATATTTAGGTAACTTTTTCATCATGTGTGCTCATTTTTTGTCGAATCTCTCTCTCTTCTCTCTCTCTCTCTCTCTCTCTCTCTCTCTCTCTCTATATATATATATATATATATATATATATATATAAAAAATACCAAATAGGTGATAGTGTTTTTTTCAAGGAGGACTTTTTAATATAAAAATATTTAAAAAATAAAAAATATCAATAAAAAAATATCAATAAAAAATATTTAAAAAATCCATGATGAGAGCTCAGTGTATAAATTTATATACAGAACAATATAAATAATAAAATGGAAAAGACTATATTCATCATATAATCAGTTAAAAATTTATTTCAACAGTATATATATATATATATATATATATATATATATATATATATATATATATACCTGCCATTTTATAT